CTAGATTGATTATAGTCGCAGTAGTGCTAATCATGCAGGGACAGCTGTGACAAGAAGGGGCTGAGGGCCAGGAATATGGGGCTGATACTGTGTGAAACAGGAAACTGCTTGAGACTGCAGATAGTGAATACCCAGCCAGAAGTTTTTTACTCAGCTAAAACATAGTTTCCTCTGAGAAGTCTGGGCACAGGTAGTCCAGGGTCGGTGCAGCATCTCAGAGATGGCATGCTGCCGGTCACCTTCCTGTGAGTCTTCAGCCCCTCCTGCAGTACAGGACAGTGTGTCACTCAGGAGTGGGAGAAGGAAGGCTCTCCTCTGCTGCCTCACACCCGGAGGCCCTCAGTGGCTGGGATGCAGCCATGGCGGAGGCCAGGAGAGCTGGCATTGGTGCTGTGGGCTTTTCCAGGGAAGCCAGCTTGGCTAGCAGAGAGTGGCACCAGGTGAACAAACCACGGAGGCTGCCATGGTGTGTGTGCTTTTCCTTCCCATACAGTCACTGAAGTCTCATTTAGCAGCTGTACAGAGCTGGCATTAAGTGGGTGAAATCATTTTATAATAAATGAGTATTTTTTTAAACCAGTTTGTTTCTCCATAGGCTCTCTGCCTTTTACAGTAGACCCTTGACTTATGAACTCAATTTGTTCACAGGGCCTGGTTGTAACTCAGGTTGGTTAATTAAAGGCTCAGGCTCCCCTACACAGCCTTCAGCGTCTCTCTCCTGTACACAGGCAGATCTCAGTGTCCTTAGAGAGACATTGGCCCAGGATTTCTCAATTAATCCCACACAGGAAAGGATGTTATAATGCTCCTTCCAGAACTCTTTACAGGTTAAATCTGTATCTGAGACCATCTGGAAGCACAAGCAGCTGGCATTCAGGTTGTAACTCAAGACTTTGTTCTTAAGTCAAAACTAAAATTCCAATCATAACTCTAGTGATTCATATGTCAGGTCCTAACTTGAGGGTCCACTGTACTTTGTAGTTGAGAGGTACCCCTACCACTTCATAACAAATAAAAGATTTAACTGTTTCTCTTACACTTTAAAAAGATTTGAATGAAAGCTCTCTGGCTGCCATGAAAATAGATATCCCCATTATATATCTTGCAGGATCACTTCCTGTCATCATTACCTGATCAGCAGCCCTCCAGGAGCCTTTACATTGATATAGATCACTTAATAGATTGACTATTAAGGTAGTTGTAGAAGCAAAATAAGTAATGTGTTCTTTTAAGGTTTGCTTTTCCCCTAACTCCTTGCTTAAGGTGACGATTATCTGACTCTAACGGGTAACTTCATTCACCTAACAAAGTTACCATGCTGGGGTGAATTTACAATGTATATGGCCTATCTTGTGCCTGTGACTTGTAGATAGGAACTGGAATTGTATTTACATATCAAAGACCACTAGGGATGAGATAATGGCTGAAAAGGATATAAAAAGGGAAATGCTGAACAAACGGAGCGTGGATACGACTGGTTTCTGGCATTCCCATCCGCTTGCGAGAAGAAATTTTATTATTTTATCCAAACTCTGTGTCTCTGTGTATTTCTTTACGGGATTTCTGCAACAACATGTGTGTCATGGGTTTCTAAGAAGAATATTCCAAGGCAGAAGCTGTGTTTGCTTTAGAATCTAGAAACTTGGACAGTTATCTGACACTTGTTTTAGTTGTAAGGTGAACCCGGACACCAGCTCTAACTTCTGAAGGTAAAGGCTGGCTGAATGGAGCCAAGCCTATGGCACCAGTGGCATACATCCTGCTGGGCATGGTGGTACACACCTTTAATCCCAGCACTCTGGGAGACTGAGACAGGAGGATCGAAAGTTCGAGCCCAGTCTGGGCAACTTAGTGAGACACAGACTCACAATAAAAATTTAAAGGGAGCATGGGAGGACTGGAGATATAGCTTAGTGCAAAGGGCCTGGGATCAACTTCAGTACAAATGGGTGAAGGGGTGGAGAAAGAAACAGATCCTGAACTAAGAAAATTTCATGGCTCAAAAAGTGCCTGGGGTTGCAAAAGTAATGCTTTATTTCTTCCACTGGATAAAGTTGGAATCCTTGATTCTGTGTGTCTGTAATTGCCAAGATGTATATTTTTATCCCAGTAAAATTCACATTTGTAATAAAGTGGCTTTTACAAATTCAAAACACTTAAAATGTCACTCTTGTGAGAAGCAGGGCCAGTGAGGGGAAGGCCCCAGACAGCAGCCCTGGCATCATCTTGTCCCTGCGACAGGTCATTCTTTCCTTTATTGGCACAGCATTTACAGATGACCGCCATTTACAGATGTGCTGGACAGGGGGAAGGAAGGCCCACCTGCCTCGGGGGCATTCAGGACAGGGTGGTGAGCTGATAGCAGCTGCCTCCCACCATGATGCATTTGGGGGCAGTGATGTCTCCCAGAGAGGCTGCCTGAGTGCACTTTATGAGGTTAAGGGGCTTAGTTTACAAACTGAGTCAGTGTAGTCAAATCACAACATGTGCCCGTAGTTGTGTTTGACCTGAATCACAGGGAATGCCAAAAGAGGACCTCCCTGCCCTCCTGTCTGATATTTCAGAACTGGATTTCAGAACAAGTGCTTTGGGGAAATTACTATTTCCAAAATACCTGAGAAGACTGACTCAAGTCAGTGAAGTCTGTGACTTACTAGAAGCTGTATTTCTAAAAGTCTTGTTTTAGGTGTTAAAAAGTGTTAAAATCATAATTCTAGCCAAAAAATAAAATAAAATCTCATTCCCTTTGTGTTCAGTCCTTGTAGAGTTATCTGTAAGATATGACCTAAAAGAGAAAGTGGTTTTTGATATCTAGCTTTAATGCTCTTCATAATTAACGTCCCCACCCATCTGAATCTGAGCCCACCTTAGACTTCACACGTGTGTGTGATCACGTGAGCCCTAACCTGCATAACCCAGGGAAATCCGCACCTCCCCATCTGTTTCCAAGGCTCTCAGTGGTGGCTTCAGGTGTCCTGGAGTGTCAGTCTCTCAGCCAGCTCATCCCCTGTTCTACACACTGGGGGAGCCTGACAGGGCCCCAGGGCATGAGCCATGGGACTCTGCAGTGGGCTGGACTCCTCTCGGGCCATAGCATTACCAGAAGAAAATCCTGCCTGTCCAGGAAGTGCCTTGCAGGTGGGTGTCACCCCCATTAGTCCTGCAGTCCTGGGCCCCTGAAGCAGGCTGACTGAGGCACTGCCTCAGCCCCGCCTCTGCTGCTGGGCCTCTTCGGCTGGCTCACCCCTGCCTGGGGCTGAGCTAGGCTGCAGATCCACACAGGGAGGCTGCACAGAGCCGATTTCCAGTTACAGTGGCAGGTGTCTCACAGGGAGGAAGGAAAGCGGTATTTACAGTCATGTGAGATGTTTAAGCAGGCAGACTTCATTTGAGGGCTCTCCATCACCTTCACAGCTCTGGGAGCTCCCTTTCAGTTCAGGCAAGCTGGGCTGGAGTTGGAACCTCTGTGTTCAGGGTTTTCTGCATTAGAGCTTGTGATCCTTGTGCAGATAAGCTTTTTTATTCTATGTAATGTGTTTGCCAAGAAAGTGAATTGAAATATTGGTAAGTTGAATCCATCTTAACTGTAATAGGTACTTTTTAAGAAACCCTAAAATAAGTTATTCTGTAATCACTCCTTGAATATTAGCTTGTAAGTTTGAGTTTAATTATTTCTCTAAAGGTAGGTTTATTTCACTTACTAAACAAACATCGACGACTTCTTGCTTTATAATTTAATTTTTCCCTACTTTATTAAGGTATAACTGACTTGTATATACATTTTCAAGGTATACAACACGATGATTTGTCTTAACACTGTGAAGTGATTACTGTAATTAACACAACCATCACATCCCTCATCTTAAACCATCTCACTGAATTTATCTGACTCAAACAGTGAAAATTTGGAAGATTATATTGTTAGTGGAGCTGAGCAGTTTAAGAAGTATTTTTTAGATTCCCAGTCATATTGAAAATCCATATAAAATACTTGCATTATTTTAATAAAGCACATAAAATAAAACATCAATGAAGTTCCTCAGGGTGAAGTATTAAATAACCATGAGATTAGCCAGGCTAAATTCCAAGATGATTTGGAGTGTACTGTTTATTGCTCTAAGCAATTACAGTTGTCAAATATAAATGTTCAGAGTACATTTTCATTAGCATGCTGTCTATGTCCAGCTTCTTCTAAATGCTTTCTCGGTCTTCATACAGTGTCATCATTCAATAAATGTTTAATAGAAAGGCTTATTAAAGTTTTATTTATTATACTTAATGTGAAAGAGTGGAAATGAAGATAAATTGAGTTAAAGCACTGGAAAAAAATATCATTGAAATCATTTGGAGTACTACTTAAATCAACTTCTTTGTTAATACTGAACGTATATGACCACAACTTAAGATGTGTTCAAATATATCATTGTGAGGAAAATAAGAGGAATATTTTATTTTGCCATTCCTAGATTATTTGAAAAAGAGTATTTGAGATGTAGGACAAAGTACAGATGTTGCCATCATTAGCTAAACATGTGTTTTATTATAGAAATCCTTGTAGAACATTGACAGTTCTCATCATTGACTTTGTATATGTTTGTAATCTCTGTAATCTGTGAAAAATAATATAACAAAATGTTACTGATTTACCTACAATATGAAATAAATTTTAAGGCTTTAAATAAATCACTATAATTAGTGTAAACTTTCTCTCATTGTGTGTAGGTAACATGGAGAACCATATGTTTTTCTGAGAATGTGATTCGATCGAGTCTTGCACACTGATAACTAACTTTGAGTTAAGTAAAATACTGTTTGCAGTAAGATTTGTGGTGAGGCCAGTTGGTGACTGCTGGGTCTGCTGACGGGGACAGAGCACAGGACATGCTCTGCTGAGACAGTGCTCACGGTGCAGGTTCTCTCCATGATTCTTCACTAGAACATGGGCAATGCCTCGTTATAATGAAATTTTAATGATTTTATGTTTTTTATTTCACAACTAGGCTATCAGCTGCAAAGGCCAGCACAGCATCTCCTACACTTTGTCAAGAAACCAGACTGTGGTGGTGGAGTACACACATGACAAAGACACGGACATGTTTCAGGTATCAGCTGGCTTTTCTCATGGAAAATTTGTCACATTGTTCCTTTACTTCTGTATGTCAGTGTTGAACCAAGACATCCAGCACAGTGGTGTTCAGTGATGACCAGGGATAATAAGTAAGGATAATATGAAATTTATTACTACTTGATTTTTGAAAGATTTAAAAAAACTTAATTCTGAAAATGTAAAAAGAAATTATAAAGGCCACATTCTCACATAGTAGTACAATAAAAAGTAAACATTAATAACAAGAATAGAATGTCTAAAAGCCAACCTACGAAAATACTTCCAAAAAAGCATGAGTCAATGGAGACATCAAAAGTACAATTTCAATCCTGTCAGAAATGACCCTGGGAATACCGTATAGCAAGACTCGTGTAATGTGGCCAACACCTGACTCTCCTGTAGAAATTATAAAGCTTAAGTGCTTTTATTATTAAACGTTAAGAAGGTAAGGGCCAGGGATGTAGCTCAGTGGTTCTGCTGCCTGCCTTGCAACCGCAAGGTCCTGAGTTCAATCCCCAGTACCAAAAAAAAAAAAAATTTAAGATAAAAATCAAAGTAGTAACATTTATCTTGAAAAGTTCTTTTTAAAAAATGACAGTAATTAAAGTGTAGGTTGGATTCAAAAGTAATTTTAGCATTATATAACAGAAAACACAGAAGTATATCAAAAGGAAGCAGAAGAGTGGAAATAAAGCCCCCATCATTGATTAATGAATTAAAAGAGACTTTATAAATATATACAAAATACTTGAACAAGATTAAAATTTAGGCTAATAAAGGAAAAAAACAAACATAATGTGGAAACAAAAAAACACTGTATTTCTGTGTAGAGAGTTAAATTATTATATAAATAAAGTTGAAAGAAATGTCAGATAATTATGACATACTGATATAGTGTCATATGCTCTGCTAAAATAAACTCTGAAAGCCGGGGATTTAGCTCAGTGGTTCGGCTGCCTGCCTCAGAAGCCCAAGGTCCCGAGTTCGATCTCTGGTACTAAGAAAAAAAATAGCAAGATGAAATAAACTCTGAAGAGAGGAGGTGTTTAAATGTAAAAATGAAGGAAGAGAAGTCCTGGAACAAAATCTAAGTGACTTTGTAGTCTTGGAACAGAGTGTGATTAATTGCAGATGAGCAAATAGATTTTGCTTGTGTGTTACCTGGAGCTCAGGAGCCCGGGGCGTTTTGGCTCTTGAATGGGATTTGGTGTGATTACCAGGGAGAGGCTATGATGGAGAGACTGACCCGCAGTGCTCACTATTCTAACACCAGGTTCAGGCGTGCTGGCTGACAGACCTGGAGTCTGGGAGACCCTTAGCATAGGGTCTCAGGAGACAGGCGGGTAGGAAGCCCAGTAGGGGCTGAGGAGGGAAGTTAGAGATGAGTGAGGAGACAGAGGCGGAGATGGTGACACGCTTTCCAAGAGACATTGCTGCTAAGGGAATCTGCGCCTTGGACCAGAGCTGGAGGCCTGCTCGCAGGCAGGCAAAGGAGAGTATTTCAAAAGAAGGGAAACTGCCAGTGTGATGGTGCATGTCTCTAATCCCAGCACCCTGGGAGGCCACAAGAGGATTGCAAGTTCAAACCCAGCTTGGGCACTTTACCAATTTAGCAAGACCCTGTCTCAAAATTTTAAAAAAGGCTTTGGTTCATCACCTGCTGCGCAAGCACAAGGACCCGAGTTCGATCCCCGGTACAAAAAAAAAAAGGGGGGGCTTTGGATGTAACTCATTGCAAAGCCAAGAGAGAAAGAGACAGAGAGAGAGAAAGACAGAGAGAGCTCAGTGAAGGGCAGGGTACTCAGACTGTGCCCCTGCAACAGTGAGATACTTGCAGGGATACAGGTGTTAATGAGCACAGAAGGAGAAACTTTTACAGCAGCGCAGTATTGCTGAGACATCTAAGCACAGTAACATTTTCCTAGTGCTCATTTTTACTGTGCATTTTAAAAGCACCGGTGATGAGTTGGAATTTATACCAAACAACAAAACTACTCCTTAACCATGGTTTGAGAAGCTTCAGAATGGATTTGAGAGCAGGGTGCAGGAGGAGGGGACAGTAGTGGCTCAGGAAAGGGAACAGTCAGGAACAGAATCCGGGGAAGTGGAGTCTGTTGGATGTCAGGCTGCTTAGAGAGGTGGTTCTTGGATAGGAGGAGCAGTGCTTCATCCTCCTCATAGCAAGAGTCTGAAACTCAAGTTATAGAAGGGAAGGGAGACGCAGGAGGCCCATCCATGCTTTAGCATGCTCACCTGGTGTTAAGGCAAACCTACACCTCTGCTCCATACAAAATTCCGTGCATGTGGGATGGATGGAATTCTTACCATAGCCACTGCATGTGAATACCAACCAGCACTCTTAAGAGTATCAGATGAAATGCAGAAGTATTTTGGCTTCTGTGCCATCTGAATCTCAGTGCAACTCAAAAACATCGTGGCTTACCAACATGACTCCCTTTAAAATACTGTGGAGCTGATCCAATAGAATACCAGGTTTCCCACACCAAGTCTACAGTAGAAAGGTGACTGAGGTTCCTTTCCTCTCAAAAGCACTGTGAGGCTCGTGTACTAAGGAATACAGTTTTACTGGCACTCCAGAGGGTAGATGTAAATGGGAGCAAGTTGATAAACACAACTTATATGGCCAATCAGATAAAGTCATGACTTAAAGTAATTGATCCTACCATTATGTTCTGGTTGGACTAAAATTGCACATTTTACAGTCAATTCAGTTTAATTCGGGAAGACAGTAATTTAATAAATTTGGATGGGCTCAGAATGTGGCTCTTCTAGATGAGAGCAATTTCTGTAGGTGGAAAGAGCAAGGCCTGGAGATGCAGCTCAGGGATAGAGAACTCGCCTAGCATGTGGGGCAGCCTGGGCTCCATCCCCAGCACACAGAAGAAACAGAGTGGCTGTGTGGCATTCTGAAGAGGCCACTGAGCTTAGGAAGTGATTGGGGTGGAGACGGTGTCACTGAGGGGCGGGCACCAGGTGTCGTGAGGTGACCAAGGGATTCTAGAGCTCTCCACTGTGTTTCACTCGTGAACTTTACTGGAGTAGAGAGGTTCGGATGGGTATGCACCTGAGTTGGGAGACGGCTTTATTTTCTCCTTTATACATTTCCCTGTTCATTAAATGGTTGGTAATAAGTATTTGTTACTTTTCTAAATTTTTTACAAAAGCTTTTTTCAAAACTCAAGAATAAGCATTGTCAATCAGTTTTTAAATGACACCAGTAAAGACTGTGCAACTTGAGAACGAGGCATTGTATATGATTTTATATCTCTAATTTAGGTTTTACAGTGCATTTTTTAGCAAGTTACGTTTTCTAAACGTGAAATGTTCAGGCACTATATATCCATTCAAATTGATGAGTTTCAGTGAAACCAGGGGTTTGGTTTATTCCTGGGACATTTCATTAGGACAAGAAATTAAGAGTTGTAGAAAACAAGAGAAAATAGATTTTTGTTGTCTGTTGGTTTTACAGGGACAGTCTGTGCATGAGAATGTATATGGGAGATTGACAAATGAAACTTAATAATATTGTTCTAGGAAGCAAGCAGAGCTAAGCGATACAAGATATTTTCTCTGTACGTTATTCATTTAGGTAAAAAGTGTGTTTTACATTGCATATGTTTCAAAGTTTTGTGACCAGAATACAAATACCTTGGAAATTGACTTTTGAGGGCGTTTTTTATACACATCTCAGGTCCTGTGGGTTCTTCCCTCTGGAGCTTTGAAATCAGTCACTGTTGTTAAGAGAAGACATTAATATATTTAGTGAGAAAGACTTCATTTACATATAAATGCTGTTTAGTTAAGAAGGCTCTCTGGTACCTGCAACATTTATCACTATCAGTTAGAGATTCATAGAACATCATTACATAAATGTTTTATTATTCCATCTTGAGGATTTCCTTATTGTAAACAAATACTTTTCCTCATTCATAGGAAAAAACAAAACCTATTTTATTTGAATTTGTTGAATGGAAGTTTAGAACTCTTAAGATCTTCCTAATGAAATTAATTCTTTCTGGCAGAACTTAAAACTTAGCAAAAAAAGTAAACCAATGTAGTGTTATTAGCAACTATTTGGACTTCCCTAAGGGAGTTTTCTTAAACTGCACATGTGAAATGCTATGACCAGGTTTTAAGTCTTTGGTGTGGCCAATCCCGTAAGCCCTTTATATCTTCCTCATGTACCTTCCTCATCCACGCATGGTGGCAGGCTCCCCTCTGTGTCTAGGGGCTCTTTTTGCTCAAAGCTGGGACTCACCATTAGATTTACTCAGGAAAGCCATTGTCAGGAGCTGAGCAAAACAGGGGCCAAGAGCCCTTGCTTCTCTCTGGAAATAGAAAAAAAAAAGAAGAAAGAGTGATTTGCTGTGAAAGTAATATTTCTGGAAGTACAGCTATTTTTCACTATATTGGTTCTTCCTACCCAGGAGCAGGGGATGTCTGTCCATTTTCTGATATCCTCTTCCATCTCTCTTTTCAGAGTGCTGTAGTTTTCAGAGAAGAGGTTTTTATTTCTTTCTTTAGATTGATTCCTAGGTATGTCAGTTTTTTGAATGGTACTGTGAAAGGAGTGTTTCTTCAGTTCCTGTCTCAGTGAGTCTGTTGTTCATGTACAAGAAGGCTATTGATTTTTGTGTGTTGACCTTGTATCCAGCCACTCTGCTGAATTTTATTATTAAGTCTAGAAGACTTTTGGTGGAGTTCTTGGGGTCTTCTTTATAGAGTATCATGTCACCTGCAAATAATGACAGTTTGATTTCTTCATTTCCTGTCTTTATTCCTTTTATTTCTTTCTCTTGTCAAATTGCTGTGGCTAATGTTTCCAGAACTATATTGAACAAGAGTGGTGATAGTGGACATCC